CACTGGGTCCTGCCTGCTGGGGCTGCCGAGGCTTCAATCTTGGACTGCCAGGTGCTATGGGTCGAGCCTGTGCAGGCACGTGTCTGCAGCAGTGTTAATTCAACAGGAAATAGCAGGGTAGCCAAGGGATTAAAAAACAACCCAAATTATTGACTTCTCTGCTTGCTGCTCGGATGCCAGGATAGACCTCGGCAAAAGTGGGAGTTGAAGTTTGCTTCTGCCTGCCCACAGGCACTTGCAGTAGCTTTATTATAGCTCCACAGTTTTCCAGGTGAGCTAGCATAGCTCATTGTAATCTTGAGAATAATTATAAACTTTAACTATTTACTAATAGATAACAGTAATTAATGCCAATGATAATTAGCAATTATAGCTTGGAAGTAGCTAAAGCATGTGTACATTGCACGAGAGCACCAGAAACTCTCTCAGATGTGAGAAGTAGCCTGGCCTGGTCCAATTCAGGCCTTTTTATTGCTCAGAGATCCGCAGGGCTGGTGCTCAGCTGCAGGAGGAAGCTGTGCAGTCCTTGTGTGGGGACCTGCTGCAGCCCAAGGCAGGGAGCGCTGACAGCAGCCTCGTGTTGAACACTTTGCCCTGGGAACGGACCGAGGTGATCACCAGGACTGGGCCAGCCGGAACAGAGACTTTAGGTATGTCTAACTTGGAGGTAACTCGGGTACCAGAATCTGTTACAAGGGCAGAGACAGCTAGCAAAGAAATACTCTGCCTCTCCTTGCCCTGAGGAGGCTTTACTGACTTGTCAAATCACTCCCTGGGGCTGATCCTGCTTCAAGTTGTCCCTGAACTATGGATGAAGAAAATGAGGATATACAGGAGGTGGAAGGTCTGACATGAGAGCAGCAGGACAGCACAGTGTGTCTGGGGCAGATGTTGGAACAGAACCTCTTTGCTTTCCAGCTCTGGTGACAGTCCCCAGCATGGGCTATGCTATAGCGAGGGAGCCGTTGCTGCCCCCTCAGCCTGTGGCAGTGAGGAAACAGGTAAGCACGACGTCACTTGTCCTCAGATCGGTGTCAAAGGCTGAGTGGGGAGAAATCTAGGGGATCCAGCACGCAGCAAGTCTGCGCACTAGATCTGCAGTTGGGGCGCTTTGCACCTATCTCAACTCTGCAGGTATGGGTCTGTGAAATCTGTTTCTGTCCTTTCCCCCAGGAGGATGGCTCTATCGCCATGGAGAATGGGGTGATTGCAGTCTGCCTGGATGTGATGGGGCACTTGACCTCACTTCGGCTGGTGGGCTCTGAGAGGTACGTCTGTCACCTGCTTCCTGGAACCAGACTCCTCAAACCTCTCTCAAGTCTTCTCACTGTAAGCCCTTCACCACTGCCAGTTCTTCTTACACTGCTGTTTCTCTGTTCCACTTTGTTCCAGAGAGTCAGTCCCAGATGGCTGCTATGCCAACCAGTTTGCACTCTTTGATGATGTTCCCCTGTACTGGGATGCCTGGGACGTGATGGATTATCATTTGGAAACCAGGTAGAGGAGCAGTGCATTCAGCATTCAGATTTTCTTTGCTCTGGATTTCTTGCCTCCCCATCAGTCCTAGCTGGAACAGAGCATTCACTCTGCAAAACTGAGTGCCTGCTCTGTGGGAGGCTGGATTGGGATTTGGGAACCTGGCTCTACCAGGCTGAGACCAGTTCTGCCTTTATCCCTTTCTCTAGGAAGCCAGTGACAACGCTGCTGAAGCCTCTGGAAATCACCCTGGCTGGGGGACTACGGGGAAGCGCCAGCTTCTCTTTGCAGATCGGGAAAAGCAGCACCTTAACCCAGGAGATCATCCTGGATGCCACGTGCCCGTACCTCCGCTTCCTGACCCAGGTTTGGCCAGCGGCTCCTGTGCGATACGGACATCTGTGCTGTGCAGGCTGGGCGCTGGGGAGCTGAACCGGCTGTCTGAGTTATATTCCCAGTCCTGTGTCCTTCCCTAGAGCCCTCTATTGCCTTAGGGGAAGGCAGCCCAAGGGTGGGGGTCCTGAGGGCCAAGGTGGGAGACCCACCAGTTCATTTGTGTGTAGACTGTAGTGTGGTTTTATTGTACCTGGTCCAGCCTGGGTGCGAGTGTCTGCTGCACACCATGGAAGGGTAAGTGCAACCTCTGCCTGTCAGCCCCACTGTGGTGACACCCTTCTGTTAACCCATTTAGGTTGAATGGAAGGAGGCTCACAAGTTCCTGAAGGTGGAGTTCCCCATGCAGGTCCGGAACACAAATGCCACCTACGAGATCCAGTTTGGACACCTGCAGCGGCCAACGCACTGGAACACGTCCTGGGACTGGGCCCGATTCGAGGTGAGAGGAAAGGTGGTCTGGTCCTCCTGTGGTAGGGCTGCGTTTGCTCCCAGGCAGGAGCTCTGTGTGGTGAATATATCCCTTGGTACCTCCTGCAGGTGTGGGCTCACAAGTGGTTGGATCTCTCCGAGCATGGCTTTGGGGTGGCACTGCTGAACGATTGCAAATACGGGGCATCGGCCCACGGGAACGTCCTCAGCCTCTCGCTGTGAGTTAGGGCTGGGGTGAGGGCGGGGCTGTAGCTGTCATTTTGCCTTCTGAAGTGTCTGTTGGAAGTCAAGGCAGCACCTGGTCCTAATTGATCATAAGTTAATAAGGAAATAGTCTGGTATTAGTCTAAGTGGCTGGCTGTCATATGAGAACTTTTGGCTGACTTAATTACAATCGACTAAGATAATGTAATTCCTATGAGTTATGCTCATAGATAATTCAGGAGAGATCAGATCCACATTTGCACCAAGTGATTTTTCTGCTGCTGGACAAAACGTACCCCAGGAAGAGAGGCTTAAGGAGAGGGAAGGAACAGCAATGTAATGGATGCATGCAAAGCTAAGAGAAACTCTACTTATTTCAGTTTGACTTCATCAGACACACGTTTCACTGCAAAACACCCTTCAAAGGTCAATTTTAGCTTCTGAGACACCTTGTCCAGGGTCTGTTTTCTCTTGCCAGAAACCAGCAGCATGTTGACTTTCACCTCAGGGCACGGTCTTAAGGCAGCAGGAGGAGAAGGCAGTTATCCTGTCAGAGTGCTTCTCTGTTTCTGGACTAGGTGATAGAGGGACAATGTCAGGCTTGGGTTGACAGCGGGTGCTGCCGAGACACCCATCTCACCTGCCTCTTGTTGCCTTAGGCTGAGAGCACCCAAGTCCCCCGATGCCACAGCAGACATGACACACCACCAGTTCACCTACGCCGTGATGCCTCACCGGGGTGAGAGATGGGCAGAGCTGGGTCCTGTGGGGACAGGCAGGGTGGAGGACGCTTTGGTGAGCCTCGGGGTCAGCACATCTCTGGCTGCATGGCTGAAGGTCTTTGTGTTGCAGGTTCCTTCCAGGACGCCGGTGTGATCCAGTGTGCCTACAACTTGAATTTCCCTCTCCACGCAGTCCCGGCCAGCTCGGCCCAGTGCCCAGCCTGGAGCGCCTTTTCTGTCAGCTCACCTGCAGTTGTGCTGGAGACTGTCAAGCAGGCAAGTCCCTGGGGCAGAAGTGGGGAAGGCAGACAGGTTAAGCTGGTGTTGTTAAGCGTGGTTTGATCTTTCCCCTGGTTTGCATGACCTGCTAGGTGAGGACAAGGGGGGTCAGGACCCCTCTCTGCCAGGGATCGTGGTAGTGTCTGCACCCGTATGTGGGTACTGCAGCCCCAGTC